CCTTTGGATTTATCAGGTCACTGTTCTGTGGCCCCATAAGTCCCTTTGGTGTTTGAAACCAGCAGTAGGAGCTTCGGAACTCCTTGGTTTTCATCAATTCTAGTCCAATTCTGTAAGGGAAAACTTGTTTACATAGAGTTTGTTTATCCTTGTACAACTTTATATGATGGATAGGATAATAAATGGGTTCCTTGCTAAGTGGATTCTGAACATGTCCTAAAAGCATGGTTCTCACCTGAACACATATTTAGTGAGATTATGCTCAGTGGTCCTAGGCAGAATAGAACCAGGCAGAGCCCTGCTGCAAGTGGGGGGGGAAAAAGAGACAAATCTGGTAACTCCAGCAGATGCTTTCCTGTCTCTTATCCCTTCCCTTCTTTTCATTAATGAAAATATCAGAATTAGTCAGACTTGGGCCAAACATCCAAAGATGCATTATGAGAAGTGTGGCATTGCAGCTGGAATAGAAGATAGTCTCTGTCCTTGAGGAACTTCCAAAGCTAGTTAAGGAGGCAAAACACAGCTGTTTGAACCCTCTTACAGCAAAGTATGTCCAAGTGCAAACCAGTCATTCAAAACAAATATAAGTGGTGCTGGGGATACAGAGAAGTAGAATAATCTCTCCTGGACTGTTTCTGGAAGTGTTAAGGTGAATCGAATTTCAAAGAAAGGGAGAAGCCTATGAACTGACCACAAATTGGCAGGGAGAAAGAAGGAATTTCTTAATTTTAATATACCCTTTTAATCAATCAGTTTCTTGAAAAGAGGGTATTAATATTAGTTGCATTTTGCAAATACAAATAAATACTGTCTTTGAAATAAACTGCCTACCCTTCTGTTCCAAGTATAGGAGATGTGCTTTAATAATAAGATGACTTTAATAAAAAGATTTTTTAAATGGAAAATTTACTGGCATAGATATATAAAAATAAGGAGCCCAAATCATCCTACCTTACCTTTTTTAAGATATTTAAACTTCAATCTTGTGATTGTTTCCCTTTTTTTTGACCTTTTATTATAATATATAGAGACTGTTTCAGACTAAATTCCCTAAGTCTCTATTGATGGAAAAAAGTCTATCATTAAATTACATAAAAACATTTTCCTTCTGAAATAAGAGCTGATTTGAGCTGCAAGGACTTAAATTCTAAGAAATACCAACTATTGAAATAATTTATTCCACTTTGTTTGCATTGTTTTGTTTTTTCAGAATGGGAAATGGATTTTAAGTTCTTTGAGGCCAGTGACTTTTTTTTTTAAAGGAGAAAATTAAGTCTTAGTTGTGTTTTTCAAGTCATTCAGTGCAGATTACACTCTCGTTTACTAAACATTGGTTTTAATTCATGATGGTTTTTAGTCTGTATTAGATATAATTGAATTACCCTTTAGTTAACAGGCAGGAGATCAAATGTACAAATTTGCTGTAATAAACCTTTAGAAAGTTACCTAAAACAGCTATTCTGAGAAATATTTCCATCTATGATAGTTTTCTTTTGTTAGAAGAATCTATGTGGAACATTCTAGGGAAAGGCCTTGGTATGAGTCTATTGAATATGTTCAGCAGAGCAGAGAAACCTCCCATTCTGTTGTGGTAGGTTCAGAAGTCATTTTTTACCTGTTTATCAGAGGAAAAAAATTTTTTCAGATTTTCAAATACGTTGTAAACATGTTCTCCTAACCTCCTGAAATTCATTTAGCCTGGGGTAAAGGGAAACAATCATTAGGGGACATTTGGGGATTGTTAGAACATGTTTTCAGGACCCTACGGGGCCTGGATCCACTGAAGGCCGGCTCAGGCATGCCCTGTGCTTCCCACTGTCTGCAGTTTAAGGCCTGCGCTGAGTCCATTAAGCTATTCCATAACTGACCTTCTCAAGTGGCTTTAGAATCTTTAAATTTGAACAATATGTGTTCCTTAAATCATTCATATAGAGTGAATGAGTGTTTGCTAATGGAGGACGTAAGTAGGACACTAAGGAAAAGTGGCAGGCCCAGATTCTTAATCTGGAGCTCATTGCTTCACTTCTAACTCATGGAGTTACTGTGAGGATTAAGTGAAATAATGAGAAGTACCTGGTTCTGGAGTTGGTACTCAACGAATGTTCGTGCCTGCTCCCTCCTCTTACTGGTAATGATTTTGCTTCACGTTTTTATGAAATACTTTAATTGGCTTTATCAGTACCGATAGTGTGTATGTTTAACTTGAACAATTTTTAAAAAGATAAGGGATTCCTAGCAGAATACTCCGAGTTAATTTTAAAGTAGAATAAGAAAATACATACTTTTTTTGAGATAAAGTTGAAGCTTGTTTTCCATGCAGTTCAAACTTGTCACTTTTTTTCTTTTAGCCTTTGGAAAGTTTCACATTAACAGCATGAGAACTTAAAATTACAGTTGATGTTGAAAGAGCTTAACTAAATATTTTAAATTGGTGGTATTGGAAAGAGATTCTGTAAAAATCCAATTAAACTTTTGAAAGCTCTGTCCTGTTGAAATAACTTAAAGGAAGTCAGTTTGGTTTCCCAGAAGTACTGTGCATAGTGTTTCTGGCTTAGGAAGAAAGGCTCAAATCTACTATTTGGCCAGAAATTGGGTACCAGCTTCCTCTATGATGTTTTACTTGAGCGGTGTTGACACTTGAACAAATCCCATAGAAATTGCTCCAAGTGGGGAATAGTTGTCCTTGCTTTTATAGTAAAGACTTGGCCCCATAACTAACGTCTCAGACACTGCTAGTATTCTTGGCTGAATAATCTATAGATGTGCATAAATTGAGAGCAAAACCCCAAATGTTTTAGGAACTTTAATGGCTACCGTTTTTCAACCAATCAGTAAAGTAAACTTTTAAAAAAATACGGTGCAGTTTATTGCTTCATAGCCAATAAAAATAGTGAACAAAAAGAGTCTAGTGTCCCTTGTTTCTTAAATAAACTCTGAAAATTCAGTTCTCTTGCTATTAAATTATTAAATGCAAAAGACTAGAATGATTTCTTTTATAATTGGAGCACTATAGGAATTTTTTTCCTTGCCTCAGACATCAGAAATAACTTTCTTTCCATTAATTGACAGTGAAGTATTTAACCAACATGTTTGTTTTTGTGATTTATTTTTCATGAGGAACAAAAACAAATGCTTGGGCAAAAAGTTAATTTTTTCTCTTTGATTTACATTTACAAGAGTGAGAGCTAGATTTACTCCTAGTATTAAATATATGTGAATATAAATTGAGAGAAAAGGTTTATGTTACTTAAAATATTTGTGTTAGCTTAAATTCTTAGAATTCATAATGAGAAGAAAATTGAAACATATTTTTAAAATGGAAATTTATAAAAAAAAAGAATTTCTGTCTTGGTTCAGAGCCAGAGGAGAGGAGAGAGGAAGGAGGTTTGGGGATGCATACCATAAAAGTTGAAAGAAAAATTTCCTAGGAGATAATAGGTACAAATTTCAAAGAGTTATTCTGGCCCTTCTTTGTCCTTACGGGATTTTGTTTAAGAGTAAGAGTAGTTATCAGGACAGCAAAAATTAACTACAAGCTATAGAAATCTCAGTTGATGTGGACAGTGGACAGTGTCTTTTAAAATTTGGACTTAGTTGAGTAATATTACAACTTCCTGAATATGATGCTGCTAAATCAGACAGGTGGTTGGGTTTCATTTTGGTACTAAGTAGAGTGTTCAAGTGACTTGGAGGCTCTTCTCTTTCACAAGAAAACATGTTTTAAGGAATTGAGGAGTTTGACAATTCAGAGTTTTAAAAGGTATCCATATAAAACTGAGCAGTAAGCCAACAGTAGTACTTTGATAAGCAAATTTATCTCACAAACTTTCAAACTAACAAATTCATAGAAAATTCTAAGATAATGAAGCATAAATATAGGAACTTACTAGTTAATGCTCAGTGAAACATCCTCAGGTTTTGGAATTTATTTAGGGGAATACCTGATCTCAGTTAAGTAGGGCTAGGACTAATTAGGGAGTTAAGACTGCATTATCAATATTATGTGGATTTGAAAGATTAGCAACTAGCAAACTTCAGACAACATTAAGAATAATACAAATTGCAGTGGGATTGTGGCCTAAATGTCAATTTATTCTAAAGTGAAAAAGCGCTGTGAAAGAATAGGGAGATTGAATGATTAGAGACTTAAGGTATAATGCGTGTAAGCTCCATGAGGCCAGGCATTTTTGTTTTGTTGACCACTGCGGTGTCACGAGCACTCAGGACAGTGCCTGACAGGAGTACTACGGTTGTTTCATGATTCTTCACTAAAGTTAGGGGTATCAGACTTTCTGATCTGGTTGAGGAATTTATTAAATACCAAATGCATAAAGCTTCAACACCAACTTTAATATTTTTCTAGCTTTGTTTTGCTTTAATCTCACTGAAAAATGGGAAGATGTGAATGTGTGTGTGCTAGAGTGAATTTCGAAGAGTGAGTGCCCCTTAATCCCTTCTGGAGGCCCTGTGTTCACAAACGAGCTAACTCGTTTATGTGAAGGGTAGTCTGGCTAATCTAGAAAACAGGACCGGTTTGATCATGGTACGTTCAGTTGGGCGCATTGGTGATGTGAGCAGGTTTTCCCTCCCTCGGCCGTATGACAGCCATTAGTCCCGTACTGGTTTAATTTGGGTTCGTTGGTGTAGAAGTTGTATTCCCACCGCAGCGATAGAGCCCCCAGAGCTCATCTAGTCATTTTCTGGGTTCACATGTTCGGGAACAGTACATAGAAATACGCACCCATTCATCTTGCACATTCGAAATCGCCATTTTCCCGCTCTTGAGAAGGACTCCAGATATTTTCTGCTTTCTGTAATTAGGTCGAATACTACCTATGAAACAGTGACTCTTCACTCGATTCTTTGAGGAAATGTAGGTCCTAATGGAATTTATGAACCAACCTTCTCTTGGACCATGATTTTTTTTTTAAGACAGGCAGTGTCTGCGACATTTGTCTTGCAAGCAGGCCCCCTCACCTCCTCTTGGTCCGTTGTCACAGGTGAGAAGCCGTACAAGTGCACCTGGGAGGGCTGTGACTGGAGGTTCGCGCGCTCGGACGAGCTGACCCGCCACTACCGGAAGCACACGGGGGCCAAGCCATTCCAGTGCGGGGTGTGCAACCGCAGCTTCTCCCGCTCCGACCACCTGGCCCTGCACATGAAGAGGCACCAGAACTGAGAGCCCCGCCGCGGCCTGCCGTGCCTATGCAATTCACACTGACCGCCTGCAGTTCCTTTGGCAATGGCAAAGTTTTCAACTACAAACTTAACCTATATATATATATATATATAAAAAAAAACAAAAAAAAAACTGGAAATGTATATTTTGTATATTTGAGAAAACAGGGAATACATTGTATGAATACCAAAGTGTTTGGTCCTTTTGAGACTCTGGAATGCTTGCTGTAATGTATATGGCTTTACTCAAGCAGATTTCATCTCCTGACAGGCAGCCACATCTCAGTGTGGGTAGGGGGGTGGGGGTGCAGGGTGTGTTCGCAGTGTTTCTACCTAAGCACCATCATTTAACGTGACAGTGTTTAGTAAACAAGTCAGTTGGCAGGCACAGGAAGAAGGCTGGATTGTATGTCAAGATTTTACTTGACATGGAGTAGGTTTTGTTTTTTGTTTTTTTTTCAATATTAGATAATTCCTTAGAGGTGCGCAGTGTACCTGGCCATTCACAAATAGCCATTGAACAAATGTGTTTTTTTGTTTGTTTTTATATGAGTTGCCTGTATTTGCTATTCAAAATTTTGTAAATACGCAGATCAGCTTTATAGGTTTATTACAAGTTTTCTAAGATTCTTTTGGGGGAAAATCATAAATAATTCTGTTTGAAAATAACCGTGAATACCTTTACAGTTAGAATTTGTGGTAAAATACCTCTTCAAACCTCACCAAATTCATTTCTTTAGGAGGAAGAAATCATTCAAATGAAACTTAAAAAGCAGATTCCATGCACTGATTAAAATAGGATTGTTTTAAATATGAAAGACGTTTTATATGAATTGTGAACTCAAGAGCTTAAAGATACCATACGTAAAAGTTAAACCGCTAACAATAAGCTAAACAGTATCATTTTAAAAAAGGACAACTTGAGCTCTCACGTGGCAGTGTTGAATTTATGATGCAGTTTTCAGATACCGAAATGTTTGCTCGTGCAGTACTGTTGGTTGAACGACAATTTATATGGATTTTGCATGTAATATACAGTGAGACACAGTAATTTTACCTAAATTACAGTGCAGTTTAGTTAATCATTGTTAATACTGACTCAGTGTCTGCCTTTAATTATAAATGACATGTTGAAAGCATAAGGAAGCAAGTGCTACGTATATGCAATGTAATAGTAATGTGACGCTGATGCTGTTAACCAAAGGGCAGAATAAACAAGCAAAATGCCAAAAGGGGTCTTAATTGAAAATGAAAATTTAAGTTTGTTTTTAAAATATTGTTTATCTTTATTTATTTTGTGGTAATATAGTAAGTTTTTTTAGAAAATTTTCATAACTTGATAAATTATAGTTTTGTTTGTTAGAAAAGTTGCTCTTAAAACGTGTAAATAGATGACAAACGGTGTAAATATTTTGTAAGGCTTCAAAATGTTTATACGTGGAAACATGCCTACATACAAAGCATAAATTGGTTGCTGTTTTGCTTCTTTTCCCCTCTTATTTTTGTATTGTGGTCATTTCCTATGCAAATAATGGAGCAAACAGCTGTATAGTTGTAGAATTTTTTGAGAGAATGAGATGTTTATATATTAACGACAATTTTTTTTGGAAAATAAAAAGTGCCTAAAAGATTCATGTTTTGCCTGCCTTCTTCACCCACAATAGCAAAAACAGCAAATTCCATTCCCAAAACTATTTAAAAGGGTCTGTCTTATCAGGGCAGTTAAAAAAAAAACAATTCCCACATTGAACCAAAGCTACCTTTGTTTAAAACAAAAAAAGGGGTTTTAAGAAACACGATTACAAGTATAAAGGCAGATACACACACATAGTTCATGAATGTTGATTTTTTTTTTTTTTTCCTGGTTACTACACAGACACACATTGCATTAACCTTTTCAAGACCGTAAAGGTAACTTGCATATGCTAGTTTTTTTTTTTTTAACTTTATTTTTTATTTGTTTGAGAGAGAGAGAAGGAGCAAGGGGAGGGGCAGAGGGAGATGGAGAAGCAGACTTGCCGGCTGAGCAGGAAGCCCGGACCTGAGCAGAAGGCAGAATGCAGACGCTCAACTGACTGAGCCACCCAGGTCCCCGCATATGCTAGTTTTATTGTCTGAGGTAAATAAAACGAATTGGGCTTTCAACCAAGGAAAAAAAATCACAAAGTTTAATGCAGTAGCAACAAGCACACCTAGGGGTTGGTTTTTAATACCATTTTCCAGTAAAAAGGATGGGGCTCCTTAGAGAAATGGCTGATTCTAGGACTGGGTTAGGAAGTGGACAAAATAAGCCTGGAGAATTTGACAGCACCAGGAAATAAGGAAGTCATTCAAATCCCACAATGATGGCAGGTATGTCAAGGCAACAATAAAAAGTAGGAATGGGGGGCCCTTGGGTGGCTCAGTCCTTAGGCGTTCTGCCTTCAGCTCAGGTCATGGTCCCGGGGTCTTGGGATCGAGCCCCGCATCGGGCTCCCTGCTCAGCGGAAGCCTGCTTCTCCCTCTCCCACTCCCCCTGCTTGTGTTCCCTCTCTCGCTGTGTCTCTCTCTCTGTCAAATAAATAAAATCTTTTTAAAAAAAATTAAAAAAAATAAAAAGTAGGAATGAATTACAACCCAGAGTATAAAACAGCCATGAGCCCATACTGAAATAACTGAGTAAATAAGAGAGGAGACAAATCCGCCGAATTCCAGTTTTTGCAGACACTTTACCCTGAGAGGTAGAACATAACTCCCCACTCCTTGAAGTGCATGTTGCACAGAAGGCAGTATGGCCAAGAGGGGAGGGAAAGTATAGTGCAGAAGCCGCCCAACCCCACCCAACAGCCTCAGCCAGGTGGTCAAGGTCCACATCAGCAGTGACAAGTCATGGTTGTACATAATGTGACGAGAATGGAACTTTGCCTCCACCGTCTTCCTTCCTCTTGGAAACACGTAACCTCAGTCCAGTCCAGACAAAGCCTAGTTGAGGGACATTCTACAAAACACCAATACTCAAAACTGTCTAGGTCTTGAAAACCAAGAAAATGTGAGAAACTCACAGCCAAAAGAAGCCTGAAGAGACATGACTATAATGTCAACTAACTGGGATTCTGAAACAGAAAAATGACATTAAGCAAAAACTGAGGAAATCTGAAAGTACAGAATTTAATGTATCAATAACATTGGTTCATTATGACAAAATGTATCATACTAATGGAAGATGTTAATAGGGGAATTCTGTATTATCTTTGCAGTAATGCTATAAAACTGGAATAAAACATTTATTTTTAAGAAAACTGAAAGAAAATCTGTGTCACTATTACATATGTTCAATAAATGGGAAAATCCCTGATGTAGGAGCTAAAGTGAAAATTGTAGTTACATGATTTGGCAACATCGGTTTATTCAGCTTCTCATCATTTGACTCATTCCTCCCTGTCATTCAAGTAATACCCAGCTCAAGAACACTGCACAATTCATTCTCTAGCCGGAGCTTCTCATTCTTTCATGAGGGAAAACATAATTTCTTTGGCTTAATTTTATTTCTAGAAATTGAGATCGTAAGGCTGCAGACTTCTTAAAGCAAAGACAACTCCCTATGTCTAGTAACAAATCAGAGCTGTATCAGTATTAAGTTGTAATTGATAATTGTATGAATGCAGAAGCTTTCTTGTAAGTAGAAACCAGTCTTGCTTTGGCTCCCAGCACTTAATTGTATTTAGCTTCTTAACACAGAGGATGGCTGTTTCCAGTTCTTTTTACCTCTCTGAACTCTTTTTTTTTTCCCCCTTTTGTAGGCTGCCCTTTCTCCTCTCAGGCCAGCTACCTGTTCCAAGTCCTTGTCTGCCAAAGCTCAGTTCAGACCCTCTGTCTTTATTAGCCACACTCACTGGAACTTGTTTTTTTATTTGGAAACACTATGGTACTTCAGCATTTGAATTATTTTCCGACTTCTATCATATGTTTTTCTTCCTCAGATTGTCAAATCTTTGGGAGAAATGCCACTCCTGGATTGCCTTTGTCTTCCTGCTTTTATTGATTGATAAGTCAGATGTCAAAAAATAACTTTATGGTGCTGTGTGAGTTGTCTTAAGCCTGGAGTAATTGAATCAATGTAATGTTTGCCAAATTTCCTCTTCATGTTGTACTATTGATAGAGTGTTGGTGTTGGATTTTTGATAAGGTATGTGACAAACTGATTATACTGTGAGCAAACAGGTAATGCCTTGTGAATTTTTTTAACAGTAGTGAGTTTTCAAGGGAGAGTTATTGTACACAACTATGTTTAACATACTTTTCAAAGCTACAGGTAATTTAATTGCTGATCATCAGCATGTCCATTACATGAATGCCTGGTTTCAAACATATTCTGACCAATCTCTTGGTAAACAAGCTACCCCAACTAGACCAAAACTTGAGTAATGCATCAGGTTCCGATTGACTAGAATGCAATTAGGTAATTTAATTTCAAGTTAGTAATGCTCTGAGTTTTAAATGTCTTCTGTTAGTTTTTATTCTCCCCACCCCTAACCCCAAGTTAGCTTGTTTGGTTTTGCTTCATTTTGTCATTTCATTCCTGTGTTGCGGTTTGTGTAAAGTGCATCACTTCATGGCATCCAATTAGAGAATCCTTAGATAAGCATGACCTGGCCTGCCTACATAAAAATGTTCTTCAAAATCTAGCTAGATTCCTTTTCCTATCTTCAGCTAAGCCCACCAGAGCTCTTTGGATTAACTCATGGGCCATAACATAACAAAGAGGGGCTTTATTCTCCATTACTAAGTCTGGTCTCTACTTTGAAGTTGACCAAATTCCTTCCTTGGTTATATTCTTCACTGCAGTGTGAAACTAATCAATAGGAGACTTTTAAATTTAATTTTTTGTTATTCATACCAGAGTTATAGGTGACAAAACCTGGCAATTGTGTGATACTCATTTTAACAGTGACAAGGGATAAAAAGCATAATAAATCACATGAGAACTATCTGTGATAGGAAGAGTTTGTTATAGTCTTGTAAACCAGCATTCGTTATCTATTCCTCTCAGTGTGTATCACCTCATGAAAGCATTTGGGGTCATGGAAATGGTAATATTCTTGAATTGAAAGTAAAAGCTTAATGCTATTTGGCCACTGATGATATTTAAATGATGATATATATGTAAAGAATTGAATAGGAAACTAAGAAGTTCATATAGACTTTGAGTAAAAATGGTAGATACATGCATCTCATTTTGCAGCCTCTTAAAACCCCACTAAAACAAAGGGCCTTTTTCCTCCAAGGCAAACTTTATGAGAAGAACAGGAAAATAGAAACACTTACAAACCTGAGGGAGCTGGAAAGAGCTAGATAGAAGAGGCAACAAGCTGAGCAGAACTGAAAAAGCTAATTTTTTTTTTAATTTTAAGATTTATTTATTTTCGGGCAGTGGGTAGAGGGAGAGAGCATCTTAAGCAGACTCCTTGCTGAGCACAAGGAGCCCGACACAGGGCTTGATCTCATATCCCTGAGATCACGACCTGAGCTGAAACCAAGTCAGACGCCTAACCAACTGTGCTACCCAGGCACCCCAAAATGAAATCTTAAAGTAGTGGAGAAAACCAGAAACTAACTCAATTCTAACCCCCCATAAAAATCCCAAAAGATCTCATGAATTCATAGTATTGAGTACTCTTGGAAATGAAACTAAAATACAATTGTTAAAAACTTGTCTAAGAAGCTGTTAATTCCTTGGTCTCTCCCCATACACCTCCACTGTAACATACACTGTGAATTGGGAATAACCAGTTAGTCTCCACCCCAACAGAAGAATGCAGGTTATTTGGTTATTCACTGAAGAAAGTAAAGACAGAGAGTCTCTAAATTAGTAGACAACAGGCCCAGCTGAGGGCAGGAATAACAAACAGAAAAAGGGAGAGTTGAATGAATGTGCATATTGGTTGCTGGAACCTGTTCCTCTTCTCTTCCCCGTTTGGTTCCCAGGATGATGGAGACAGGGCCTTTATTCTCCAGGCAGGATAAAGTCTTCAGAATGGACCAGCCCAGGAAGAAAGATCAAAATATACTGAAAATCCCAAGTTCTCCAATAACATGGCTCAGTCAGATCACTCAAAGAAACCCACAGATGATTAGCTTCACACAAACGCTCAGAGCTTCCAGTCTTTGGTCCCTCACTATTAAATATTTACAGACAACCAAGAATTACCAGATATCTAAGGAAACCATCTAATAGGAAAGAGAAGAGCAACTTGGAGAAACAAGACTCAATGTAAGGTGGGTGAAATATTAAAAAGAGCTAGTGTTAATAGCCTCAGAGATAGAAGATATTAGAATTATGAAACAGGATGTTCTAAATAACATGCAGAGGACAAAAAATTAAAATGGGACATATGAGAGCAGGAAGGAGAGAAACAAATTTGAACAGAGAGATGTAAAAGAAGACCAGTAAATTAGAGTTCAAATCTAAGAGCCTTATTGTCTAAACAGAAGTTCCAGAAGGAATAGAAAAAAGGAGATAGGAATAGAAATTAAGAGAATAATTCAAGTAAATTCCTTGCAACTAAAGGACATGAATTTCAGGAGTGAAAGGCTTTTGAGATGCCCTAACACCAGTGTAAATAGATCCACATCAGTATGAAACTTCAAACC